CCCGCCGCCGCGGCTCCTCCGCTGGGGTCACCCGAGGCCGCCCCCGCCGCGCCTAGGCCGCTGACTCGGCGCTCACTGTTGTCGCGCACGGCCGCCATCAGCTCGTCGCGCACCGCCGCGTCCCCGCGGTGCTCCGGCAGGCTCAGCAGGAAGCGCAGCTGCGCGATGCGCAGGTCGGGGTTCTTGGGCAGACCCTCCTCCTCCAGGTTCTCCAGCGGCATCGCGGCGGCGGGCGGCCACAGGCAGCAGGGAGCGACCGGGTTCCCACCGGCGGCGGCGGAAGCGGGAGGAGTCGACGACGGCTCCCGGGCACCTCCAGCCCGGCTTCCGGCCCCGCCCCGGCCGCCGCTGGCAGCGCCCCCTGCTGGACCTTCCCAGAAGCGCCTCCTCCCGGCCGGAGCGCCTGCGCCCCCGCGTGGCCACCGGCGGTTTTACCTCGCCCAAGGCGCCACTCAGGCCCAGAGGGACCAACTCCAGTCTAGTTCTAGAATCTATTTTTAGCTATTTGTACTGGTCATTGCGTTAGTAATTCATGGGAGCTGGAAAGCTTTTAAAATGTTAAAAATACAATAAGCGTATTAGTGATAATAAAAATAACCACCACAATTGGGAAGTCCCCTCGTTCTAATCCTCTTAATTAAACCAGACAGCAAGAAGTTAGGGGCCGGGATCAACCAAGGTCATGTGACAGCCGCAGGACAGGGCCTGAATAACAACCCTGTGGACAGCTCTGAAGTCCAGTTCTCCCCCATCCTAGGAAGGAAGCAGCACGCACGGCTTTTAAGTCTACAGCAGTCTCACTCCCTTCACACGTAAACCGTTGCGCGCCAGCAGTCCCAGATCCTGTGCTCCTGCTGGTACAGAGGCTCCCAAACGGGGCTGGTTGCACAAAGCCGCATCGAACACACTGACCATAATTTCCTTCTGTCGCCTCCTCTGTCGGGCGTGACCTTTGGTGAGCCGCTGTTCTTATTTTCCTAGGATGAAGACCTTTGAATGCATAAATCCTTCTACATTTTGAGGGTCTTTTCTTAGCATGAATTTCCATGCAGGAATAATAGACAACAGAAGAAAGAATTTTGTGATTTTTAAAATATTTCTTGTCAAATTGTTTCCCAAAGGAGAAGAATCAGGTGATACAGCCACTGAAATAGCTGGGATCCCACCTCTCACGGGCATTAACCTTTACGACATTTTTAAATATATGATTTGGTACAAATCAAGTAAGCATCTTGAAGATAATTCAGATGACAGTAAAATATAGAACCAAGAAAAATAACTTGCATTTCACCACTGTTGAACTTTGCTCAGGAACTTTCTCCAGATCGTTCATTTATTTATTCACCAAACATGACTGCCTGAGTTCAAACTACCAGGCATCAATTTAGGTACGAGAGATCTGGCAGCAAAGACTACAAGGCCTCCGTCTAGGGCAATCGTCTCGTAGAGAAGCACCTTCATGAAAGTCACCTAGCTATGTTAGCAGATCTTTCCACACTTGCACTAAATTTTAAAATTATTTTGTTTATTCCACTATGCTCTGTGACCATCTTGCCATATCAATAAATATGGACTGACCTATATAGGATGCCTCTGTGTTTTTTGTCAGCATTTTACCCACCTGTGTTCTGATGATCAAAGTTGATTGTTAACTTGATTGGTTTGAGAGAGGTCAGGCAGATTAGTAAAGCACACCTCTAGGTGAGTCCGGGTGGGTCACGGGGGCGTGACCTTGGGGATTGCATGCGGCTCCCCGCCCCTCTGTGGCTCTTCCTCCAGCCTCTGCTTCCTAGCCGCTGTGAACAGTGAGTAGCTGTGCTTGGTCGCACCCTTCCACCAGGATCTTTCTGCTGTGGAGCTGTCCACCACGGACTGAGCCTTCTCAACAGTAAGCCAAATTAAACTTCTCCTACTGCAGGATTCAGGTGTCAGGTATTTCGTCCCAGCAATGGGAAAACTCATTAATACAACCCTTAACCAGGGTCTTGCTCATTTCCGCACTCTTAGAATCACTGAAGTGGCAATTACCTGTGTGCGTTTATATTTTCATACTTGAGTAATTATTTCTTAAGAAGTTAAATTGCTAAGTAAGAAGGCATAAACATTTTAAATGTTGATATATTCTGCAAGGATTATACAATTTATTTTCCACAAATGATGCATCTGTTTGCACTTCCACCAATACTGAACAGATAGAGGCACCAAAAGAGAGAAAGAATACTATCCTTCCCGCACCCACTGCATGGTGTGTGGATGATGTACCTGTAATAAAAGACAAATAAACAGGAGCAAAGCAAGCAGATTTGTTCAAGGTAAGTTCCATGGAGGGACAAGAAGCCCTGTGCATGTCCACAATGAATCTGAAAAGGAAGGTAGGGAGGCACCAGCATAACTGCACCGAAGGGTATGACCCAGTGGTGATGCGTGAGGGGACCTTGCAGGGTACCTTCCAGCACCCGTGCTCAGCAGGAAGCATTGGTTTATAGATACCTCAGGGGAGAAGGGTGAGGAGAAGGTGATAGTCACCTTCCTTCAACTGCTGCTTCCTCAGATGTCAAAGGTTCTATTTGGGGACTGCATAACCTGAACCCCATGAAGCTTGTCTACCCTTGTCTTAATTACTTTTCTCTTTCCTGAACCAAAATACCTGACACCCACAAGTCACAGGAGGAAAGGTTTATTTAGTTCACAGTATGTAGAGGTTTCAGTCCATAACTGTCTGGCTCCAAGGCAGGGAGGCACGACAGAGGGCAAAAATTCATGGCGGGTGGAGGTAGCAAAGCAAGCAAGGGATAAGATAAGCCTCTGTCAGTCCCTTATATTTTATGCAGGCTACAAGGATTAGGGCAGTGCCAAACCAATCAGTGAACTGATTAATAATCACTCACCCTTAATCCTAGCACCCTTGATTCTAGCATTGCACCATGAATCAATCACACACTCTAAACTCAGCTGTCTCTCAAAAAGCCCCATTTATGACTGCATGAGGCTTTGGGGGGACATCTAAACACAAACCATAACGTTCTTCCCCTGACCCTCCAAAGACTCATGCGCATCCCTTTGCACAAAAGGCATTTAGGCAATCTTCAAGGGTTACCAAAGTCCCAGCAGATTCAGCATTGCTGAAAAGTCCACATCCAAAGTCATGGGCTTCAAGACATTTAAGGCAAATTTTCAGCTGTGAGCCCCTGTACAAATGAAAAGAAAGTTAAAAATCTCCAACATTCAACGGCACAAGTTAGACATTTCCATTCCAAAAGGTGCAGAGGGGGATGCAAAGGAATGGGAACAAAGCAAGTCCAAAATCCAGCAGGGCAAACATTAAGTCTTGTAGTTCCATGTCCAGCATCTGAAGCAATCTGTGGCAAGATGTGAACTCTGAAGGGCTTGGGTGGCTCCATCCCTCCGGCACTTCCAGTGGTTGTAGCTCCAATGGCTTCTCTCCTGTACCCGTTCTGCTCCCCGCTTGCAGGTTTCCTCATACCATTCCCATTCCTGGCTTCTCCAAAGGGGTCTCTGCTGCACCTTCAGCTTCATACTCAGAGCTTCACACATTGGCCTCTCAGGAGGACACTACCTGGCCTCCCAGGCCTTCTTCTGAAATCTGGGTGGAAGATTTCCTGACCCCGCAACTCTCACATTCTACATGCACCTGATACCAGCACTGGGTGGACAAAGCCAAGGTCTGCTGCCAGCTGGAACAGTAGCTGGGTTTCCTTCCCTCTTGGCTGTAGGGTTTGAGTGCCTGGATCACTGGACCTCTGAATCCAATTCCTCATCAGTGACTCCTCTCATTGAGGTGTGATGGCTGGAAGGAAGGCCAGGATTAAAAAGAAGGACCGAGAGACTAGCACTAGTGTCCAACAATAGGCTGTTTACTTTTTTCTCTATAGTCATGATTATGCAGGGTTCCTCCTTAAAGATAATGGTCTGGCCAGGGGGAGAAGGCAGAGTCTGCCCTGGGCCCCTTCATTCCTGTTGGACCAGCTGGTAGGAGGGGTCTGAGCTCTGGGGCCTCCACTTCAGAGGGCAGTCCGACCTCTAGTGGTCACCGTTACAGTCAGGGCATGGCCCAGGGGGCTTCTTAGGGCAGTCCATCTTGAGGGGGCCTGGCTTTTGACAGTGGTAGCAGATGAATGTAGTCAACAAGTTCTTCTTGGGGCCCTGAGAATCAGACTTAGGGTCTGTTTCTCTTAGTGCTGCAACAAAGGCAGCTGTTTCTTCTCAGTCTCTTTGTGTTTTCTCCTTGGCCTCCTCCTCCTCACTGCTATAAAATACTGAGGAGGCATTCTTACTAGGGTCTCAAGTGAGCCATCTGGGGCAAAAGCCTTTTTTTGTAGCTTTTTTCTACTATTTGGGGCTGACTGAGTAATAAACTTATCTTTAAGAATAGTTTGTCCCTCTACTGACCTGGGATCCAGGGAAGTGTGCTTTATCAATGCCTCTTGTCTAAGAAAGCAGAGGGGTGTTCCTTCTAGCCTCCCAGCACATTGGGATCCCACAACCACTTAGTGTCCTCTCCCCAACCATCAACACAGGAGGCAGGAGCATGTGGATGAAGTCCTCGGCCCACTAGTCAGTCTCAGCACCATCAGGTGCAAAGTGTCCCAGGCAGGTAACCTAGACACGTACCTTCTCCATGAAGGCAGTTCTACAGAATCTGAATATTGGGCAACTGTGCAATCCATGAAGTCTGGGTGCAGACCTCTCCAGAGCTCCATGCGCTCTTCCACTGCAGCCTGAACAGTTAGGGGAGGAATGGCCTCCAGGGGGTCTCCCCAGGTGTTGTGCAGGGTCCTCCTGGTTTCCAGCTCCCGGTTGGCTCTCGCGTCCCCAGTCAGCTCGACCTCTGAGTCGTCGGGCGTGGGTACCCTCGCGTTCTCCGAGTCCTTGTTCAGCAGCTGCTCCTTCGCTGATCCGGACCTCTCCGGCTCTCAAGGGCAGGGCCAAGAGTGCCCCACCGTGCGGCATGTTTTCCCAGGGGTTTCTCCACGTTGGGGTGGTTCACGCACATCTCCGGGCGGCCTGACGTGTCGGTGCTTTTCTGTGGCCTGGCGGTGCTTGACCGTACGGCGGCGGCAAGGCCAAGGGCCGGCGCCCACCACCGCGCCGCTTCCCAGCGCCTGCTGCCTGCCGTTCTGGGCGCCTGCGCGGCTGGAGGATTTCTTTCATTACTAGCGAGGTCGAATTTTTCCACGTTTGCACTTAATGCCTATAGTTC